ACTGACCCACCTTCGAAGCATCAGTTTCAAGAACCTGCTTATCTGCCCTGGCCAGGTTTGTATGGCCCAGCGCATCTTATGGGAGCCCTGATGGCCTCACATTGGGCTGCAAACAGCCAGGTCCACAGTTCAAGACCACCAGTCACTCTAAGGGAAAAAAGGGAGGCTTTCTACTCAGCTAAAGAATTACAGCCCCCCCCTCACCCACACCCACCCTGCCCCAGATAACTGAGAGCAAGAGAGAAAGAGAGAAGAGAGAGACTCCAGTCCCAATTTCACGATGCTCCTGTCAATTCTCCACTCTTGCTACAGCGGCGCCCTGGTGGTCCAATGGTTAAGTGCTCAGCACTGACTGAAAGGCTGGTGGGTTGAAGCTGCTGGGCAACAAGCCCTGCGGGCCCGCTCCTGGGGCAACGATGGCTCAGAGAGCCCCATGGGGCCATTGTGCTCGGCCTCACAGGGGCACCGGGAGTCAGAATAGAGCCAATAACCCCTGTCGACAGCGGCCAGGAGGGCACTCAGGGCCCGTGGTGCCATCCTCTCAAGGGGGTTCTCAGCAAAGCGATACACCTCAGCTTCCCCTTCTCTAAAGCGGGGAGGTCAGCAGTCCCACCGCTCGGGCTACAGTGAGGACAAGACGTGCGCAGCAGCACTAACAGCAGTTGCTGCTTCCACACATGTGCCAAGCATGGGCTAGGCAGTGCTGCCCAGTATTAAAATCTTAGGGCGCATCCGTTGTCCCCCTCCACCTGGTCACATGCACTCCCTCTGGTTGTACTAGGGTTCTTAGTGCAGCATCTGGACCCCTGCTGCTAGTAGGCTGGGGGGAGAGGGTGCAATGAATAAAAATATCCCCAGACCGCATGCAACTCCGCCTCACAGGAGGAGATGGACATTTGCAGGTGAATCATCTTTGCAGGTGACTGGTCCAGGGCCCGGCTCTATACTCGGGAGGTTGCCTGAGGATCAGTGACCTCCCCTGGGAGACCTTCAGACAAGCAAACAAGTCCAATTAGCTTCTGTGAGGGGAAGCCCACAGCAACCATCACCCGCCTCTGCCCCACTCCCCCACCCCTCCCACCCCAGCTACTGCTCTCTGATGCAATCCCAACAGCTCCTCAGTGGAATGACACCACCAGGACCTTAGGGAGGCTTTCAGGAAGCCCAGTGGGCCCCCAGTCAGCACCCGCCCACCCCCACCCCCACTCCTGAGCAAGCCAGGTGCTGTCACCTTAAGGAAGGTGCCCCTGAAGGCTTGCTGGTGAGTGAGCCCTAGACTCTCAGCTGCAGCTGAAACAAGCATGCTAACCCTGTAGAGCGATTTTCCCAGGCTTCCTTCCTGCCCCAGAGGCTGGCAGCCATCAACTGGCTTGGTCCTCTGGGTTTGACAGCTCCGAACAGTAGGGCGCAGTGGGTCTCCCCAGCAAGGTGTTTGCTCTCCCTGGCCACATGGCTGGTCGGGGCCAAGAGGCTGGCTCAGCTCGGCCACCGACACTGCTGCAGGGTCGTGGTCACCAAGCATTCGTTACTCCCTGACTGTCAGAGATATACCTTCTCTCCAAGAACCTCAGGGGATGTGGGAGAGTCCCCCTGGGGGGGGGGGTGTCTGTGAACTATGTGACAATCACAACCGAGTGTCGAAGGAGGGCCTGGATTGATTCCAAGCGGCTCTCACCTAAGCACTAGCTACCCGTGTGCATTGCAGGGAGACCAGAGACCTATGGAACAGATGTCACAAGCAGCCCTACCCGTAACACCCCCAGAACCGGAAACCACCCCGTCTGTCCACAGCAGCCAGACAAATCATGGCACACCCGTACCACGGACCATTGCTCAACAATAAGGAGGAAAGAGCCAACGACACCCACAACAGGGATGCCACTCAGAGACACAAAACCCTGGAGGGTGCACCCAGCATAATCCCATGACATGACATTCTAGAACTCGTCCATCCAGGGGATAGACATCCGCACCATGGGCTGGGATGTGTGCGGGGGGTGAGAAGAAGGTGTTGACTACCAGGGAGTGAAGGGTTCTGCACAGCGTGGTGCTGACAAAAGTGTGGATCGTGGTCATTTACAACCTGTGTGATCTAATGGGCCTGATGACAGCTCCATGAAGAGGTGTGTGTGCGTGCATGCGTGCGTGCATGGCCACATCAGTGCATCACTCCCTGGCCCCATCCCATGGGGACTGCCGGACACAGACTGTCCTGTGGGTTTCTGACACTGTACCTCGTTATGGGACTAAAGCCTCCTCTTTCGCCCGAGGACAGGCGGGTGGTTTCCAACGGCTGACCTTACGGTGAGCGGCCCAATGCATAACCCACGACGCCACCAGGGCTCCCTGTGAGTGAGTGATTGAGTGTGGATACACAGACAGACACAAATGTACATGTATATACATATTACAAAGGAGAGAGGCATAAGAATCCTTCTTGAGCCCACACCCAAGGGTGCCCCACCCTCCCTGGCCAAAGCGTCAAGTGAATTCACACTCTACCCTCTGCCCGGGCAGGGCTTGGAGTCAAACTGCTTTAGCTGGTTTCTAACGGCTGCAAAGGCCCTTCGCGAGTTGAAGAGGAAGCCCATGGTCCAAGGAAGAGCGGCAGGAATCGGAGGTTCTGGAAGGTTCTCACCAGACGAGGGCAGTCCCTGTAGACGTGTCCTTTGTGTTATTGTTGCCACTG